GTGTATCTTCCTCCTTAGCTTCCTCTTTCTGGGTTTTAGGTCTGTCTGCTGCTTGCCCCATCCTCTGTCCTTGTCCCAGGTGGCGGTGGGTGGTGTATATATTTTGACAGACACAACTTGGGAAGTTGCTCCTTTCCTGAGAGAGCTGTGAGGGGGACAAAACGAAGGCAAGCCACAATAATATGCCACAATGGCATATTATTCAGCCATAAAAAAAGAATGAAATCCTGTCACTTGCCACAACATGAATGGAACTGGAGAATATTAAGTGAAATAAGCCAAGCACAGAAAGACAAATTTTACATGTTCTCGCTCATATGTAGAAGGTAAAAATGAAAACAATAGATCTCATGGAGATAGTAGAATGGTGGTTACCAGAGGCTGGGAAGGGTATTGGGGACAGGGGGATAAAGTAGGGATGGTTAATGGGTACAAAAATATAGTTATAATGAATAAGAACTAGTATTTGACAGCACAACAGTGTGACTGTAGTCAACAAAAAGTTATTGTGTATTTTTAAATAACTAAAAGAGTGGCATAGGAATGTTCCTAACACAAAGAAATGATAAATACTTGAGGTGATGGATATCACAATCACCCTGATTTGATTATTACACATTGTATGCCTATATCAAAACATCACGTATACACCATCAATAAATACAGCTATTATGTAGCCATAATGATTAAAGATAATTTTTAAAAATCATTTAAAAAATGCCAGGTGCATTGGCTTACACCTGTAATCCTAGCACTCTGGGAGGCTGAGGTGGGAGGATTGCTTGAGGTCAGGAGTTTAAGACCAGCCTGAGCAAGAGTGATACATCATCTCTACTAAAAATAGAAAAATTATCCCGGAACAGTGGCGCATGCCTGTAATCCAAGCTACTTGGAAGGCTGAGGCGGGAGGATTGTTGGAGCCCAGGAGTTTGAGGTTGCAGTGAGCTGTCATGATGCCACTGCACTCTAGCCAGGACAACAGAGTGAGACTCTGTCTCAAAAAAGAAAAAAAAAATCATTAAAAAAAGATGCAGCCTAACATATTTTAAAGTGCACAGTACCATATTGTTAACTGTAGGTACTATGTTATACAGCAGATCTCCAGAACGTATTTATCTTGCATAACTGAAACTTTACACCAGTCGAACAACAATTCCCCATTTCCTCCTCCCCTCAGCCCCTGGCAACTGCCATCCTATTCTGTGGCTTTTATGAGTTTGACTATTTTTATACCTCATATAAGTGGAATATGCAGTATTTGTCCTTAATGGTATTGTATTTTTATGCACGGTATCCATACATTCATTGCTAACCTAGAAATACAATGGATTTTTTTATGTTTATCTTATATCCTGTGATCTTGCTTAGCTCACTTATTAGCTTTAGGAATTTTTCTATAGATTCCCTGGAATTTTCTACATAGACAGGCATGTCATCTGCAAATAGAGATAATTTTCTTTCTTTCTTTCTGATATGAATGCCTTTTATTTCTTTTTCTTGCCTTATTGCACTGGCTAGAACTTCAGCACTTTGTTTAATAAG